TCAATTTTATTTTCTACGAAACTGATCAGTGAATCGTAGAGCTTGGAAACTACTTCTATGTGTGTGTAGACACCTTGTAGAATTTTGGAAATTATATATATTAATTTGTTGCCAAAATTTTTGTTGTCGTAGAAACTCTTCAAATATATTCAGGCAAGTCAAATCAAGAAGCTATAAAATAACAAATAGATAACGAATTTGATAGGCGCCCAAAGCTGAACGCGCAGGATGACTAGGCCTCGCAGTTTGCCCGCCATGGCCCCCGTGGCCAGAGGGTAAATACGCCACTGATTCGGTGTAATTATTAATTTACAATTGCAATGTTCTCCAAAATACTCAAATATTTGCCCATTTAATCTTAGTATCTGTTACGATTTATATAGAATACAGCAATGTTGGCACATGATAAAAGAAATATGATGTCGTTTATCGTTAATACTGAAACATGTTCTATTGTAACAAAAGAAACTGATATTGTTGAAGAGATTTTAAAACTAAAATTTCTCTTGAGTAAACTTCTGTAATATTAGTCGTGTCGTTACAGTATTATCTTTAAATTTGACCTCGATGTCCAATGAAGATACAGTTTAGCATCAATTAATAAATAAATCGACGGAACCTCTTTATCTGAGCGAAATCGAATTTGAAAGAATAAATTTGCAGAAGCGCACGATCAATTGTTACTATCTGGTAAGTACGAGGTAGGTGCCAATAATTCTCGGCCTGAAATAGAAAAAAAATAAAATTTTATTATGTAATCTCCCTTAACTTCAATACACTTATTACAATGATCAATTATTAATAAATCTATACCGTCATCTCGGGTAACTTTTCCAAAACAAAGGCGCCCGCAAAACTGGTGCTTCCGTTATTTATAAAAAAATGCAGTGTTATGGTGATATCACATTAACCCTTTTATTCGGAATCTGTCGACACGGAACGACATTTTTTGTGTCGATTCTGATTCATTTTCGAGGATTTGAGAGCCCCGTATCAATCGGACCACTTTTTTAGTAATGGATTAAAAATTGAACCTCAAATTCATGTAGTAGCTAACAATTTCAAAATATTTAAATTATATTTTATTTACTTTAGGCAAAACAAGCTTAAATCGAAAATAAAACACATTTTTAATGATACAATATTTTTTTTGTTTAATTTTTAATTTAGTTTCTCTAATTAAATTGCCCAATTCCGTTCCGAAATAGAGGTGAGTAATTTTAAATTATTTCTAAATCTGTGAATATGATATTTTTCGCCAGTCCCATGCCCATGAACAAACATTTTATTTTTGAAATGTAATAAATATCTTTGATCCTAAACAATCTAATATTATATTTTTTCAGCTGTAAATATGGTACAAAACTATAAAATAAAAACAAATAAATGTGACATTAAAGAAGCTCTAACTAAAAGATATTACCAGAGGAATATACTCTTGCAGGCAAGCTGCCAAAGATAGTTAGTTTTTATCTAATAATTTATCTAAGACAGACACGTTGAATTTGTATAACAGTTTTTTTTTTTTTTTTTTTAGTTATATATAGTTGTTAATTTTTTTAACTAAAACAGATGTATTGTTCATTTACAAATGAGTCTTCTTTCAGTTTTTACACAGTAAGATTGCTGAATATTTTCTATTCAAGAAAATACTCCTATGGGTATACCGCCACCACATCCACCAATATTCTCGTTTTCAAAGATTACACAAGTTTTTTAATTGTATTAACATTAGATTGCCAGTGTACATTTTCAAAACTCTTGCATACTTTCTGCTTCTATAGCAATAAATGGTCTAGCTATGCTTTTCTTAGTCCGTCGACTTAATATTGTAAAAAGGATGTCGACATATGGTGGCTCTAAAAGACGTTTTTGTTACTTTTATGATTCCTGTATATGTCTAACGTACAAAATCAATGTACCTGAATCAGTTGTACTTTTGCTTCTCACAAATTTTCATTTATCCGAAACTGTTACACAGTTTACTGTACCAAATAAAAAATTTAATATTACATGTCATTTTCTAACTGTTCCAGATAAACTATTTAGCAGAGGGGGCTATTTCCTTAGTGAGGCTGTGGGCTACGTCTACTTTCAGGTGTGTAGATGAGCCAGAGGTAGTAAACCTGAAATAAATAGAAACAATTATTATAATATAAATGTTTCAAAAAGTAAACAATATTACTTACATGTTTATTTATATTATTTCGTTTGATTTTAATACTGCTCCTATCTATTGAAGTAAATGCTTCAATTTTCTTGGTATTTTCCTTCTACAAAGAATTGTTTCATGATTGATCACATACCTTTTTACATAAGAGCAATAAGCATTTTCCTCAAAATGCTGAGAACAGACATAACAGAGTTTAGCTAAAAATAATTTCTAAACAATTTGATTGATGGTTTGTAAACACTGTTCAAGTTAAGTGCTCGAAATTCCTAGGAGACCTGAAAAATAAAAAGCATTTAGAATACAACAATAGAATCATATTATAGACCAATTTCATTAATAACACATTTATCAAAGACTTTTGAAAAAGCTCTTAAAAATAGATTAGTAAATTTCACATCAAAATATGATATAATATCTGATAAACAATATGGTTTTAAAAAACATGTCTCTACGGAAGATGCTATTATCGCACTATCTACCAAAATACTAACTGCTATAGATGAAAACAGTCCATGTCTCTGTGTATATCTAGATCTCTCGTAAACATTCGATACTGTCAGCCACCGTTTACTTTTGGATACTTTAGAAGAAGCAGGTATAAGGGACACATCACTAAAATTATTTGAAAGTTACCTTACAAACCGACAACAAGTTACAAGAGTAAATGGTGTCTACAGTGATCTAGAATCCATAACTTACGGTATCCCACAAGGTACGGTACTCGGTCCCATTCTATTTAATCTTTATATCAACGGATTATTTTCTATCGAGAGTTCAGGGGAAGTTTTGGGATTCGCAGACGACACTTCAATATTTTATAAAGCTAATTCATGGCTATAACTAAAGCAAAAAGTTGAATAGGACCTCCCAAATCTGAAAAACTGGTTTGACAGTAAGTTATTGACATTAAATGTAGATAAAACCCACTACTTACCATTTAGTAATAATATTATAACAAGACCTTCATTTGACAAAGTAACTTTTACTGCTTCTGTGCAAACACTTACCATTCTCCCTGAAAACAAGATAAAATATCTAGGAGTTTACTTGGATTCATATCTCAAATGGAAAGAAAACATAACTTTTATATGCCAAAAATTAAGAATGATAATATATAAATTTAAAAATATAAGAGATTATCTACAACCACATCAACTTAAAATATTGTACCATAGCTTAGTAGAAAGTCATTTGAGATATGCCATCATTGTGTGGGGTTGTACTTTACAAACACATTTACAACCACTTGATGTTCTGCAAAAAAGATTTTTAAAAATAATCCTCAAAAGGCCCTACAGGTATCCTTCTAACTCATTGTTTGTTGAGGCAAATGTTATGGATCTAAAACAATTTTTTTATTATAATATTAATATTAAATTTTATACAAATAAACAACTATTCAACTTACCAGATCATCCATATAGCACAAGGAAAAAACATCTCCATACTGTGCCTCGTACTCAAAAATCAGTAGGACAACGATCGTATTTGTATCTAGGTCCCAAATTATATAATACTCTCCCAGTCGACATAAAATGTAATACCTTGTCGATATTTAAAAATAATTTTAAAAAATTTATCAAAAATGAGAAAATGGAGGTAATAAATAATATTATTTCAATTAACTGATATTTATTTGCGTTTTCTATGATCAAAGTTTCGATATCTTTTTAATAAAGTGTAGGTATTTTGATTTTGTTTGTCTCCTATATAAAATATTATCTAAAATGTATATATTTTTTTTCTGTAATGCATTAATTTTATTTTATATGTATAAATTTGTTTATATTTATATTTTTTTATATTTATTTATTTATATTTGTTCTCAAAACAAGTGCCTTATTGGCACTTATTGAGTATTAATATTTATTTATTTATTTATTTATTTGAAATTGTTATTCTATTACTTTGTAACTTGTGTTATTCTTGAATAAAATATTATTATTATAATTAAAGTAGTTACTGTTACTTACAAATAGAAAGATTTAATATAAAATCACCAACTAAAGCAAGGTTTTCAAGATATTTATTATTTGTTAACGGTTTTGTAAAGTGTAGGTTCGTAAATAATATCTTTGGTGAACGAGTTTGGGTAAATATTATAACATAACCACTAAAACTATTGCGCCTTTTAAAAGGCACTCAGAAAGCTGCGCAGTGCGACCATTCTCGGTATAGTAAGAGAAAATAGAAGTATGTGGATAGCATCCTAAACCCAAATTAAATATTTTGGAACAGAAAGTTAGACGCTCAGGATTTAAAAGTTATAAAATTAATACAGATTGAAAATTGACGCGTAATTAATGTAGGTAGAAAATATAAATACGAAATGGACGTTAGAAATTATTTAAAAAGGCAGAAGTTAAGCGATGGCGATAGTAAAGACACTATCAGTAATCAAGACGCGGTCACTGCAACTGCTTCTGCAACGTCAACCAGTGTAAACGCCATCAAAAAACATCAACCTGCAGAAATACTTACTCAGACCCCATGCTTGTTGCCGTCGTCATCTTCAACTAGCATTGTTGCGCATTCCCAGTTTGATATCGGAACTGTAGTACTATAAGTGATGATATTCGTTTAAAACTGTTGACAGATCCTTAGATACCGGCCAGTAACTATTATCTTAAATTAGATGTAAGTGATGGAAAATGGGCATTTCGGCTCGAATGGCTAACAGAGTTCTAACTTTTAAAATATCCTGCAAAATGTAAGGGGATTTTAAGGTTCTTTCATTGAAAAACCTTTCGTTAAGTACAAGAATTTTTACGAACAAACGAAAAAGCACATGAAAAGTTCGTAGCATATTAATGCTACAGAAAAATCGATGGCATTACAAAAAGAAATTGACTCGAACAGGAATAAACTTCATTATATTGTTAAAACAATTTTGTTTCTGGCTGTCCAAGATATTCCGTTGCGAGGTAAAACAGGTCAAAGGGCAGTATTAAACAATGTTCTGAACTTTCGAGCTGAAGCAGGCGACGAAGTCTTAAGATATAATCTTATAACAGCTGCTAAAAATGCAAAATATATCTCACACAGAATTCAAAATGAAATTATAAACATCAGTTGTGAAATTTTAAGAGAAAAAATTGTATGGCGCGTCAACAAAGCTAAATATTTCAGTGTACTGGCCGACGAAACAGCAAACATCAGTGGTTTAAAATCGTTGTCCATTGGCTTTCGTTTTGTGGAATGTAATGATGCAAATAAATATTACATGGATGTCAAGTCAATTGCACATGCCATCGTCGAAAATGAACAAAAATGGGGATAAAATTTGGAAAATATTGTGGGTCAAGGTTATGATGGTTGTTCAACAATGGCTGCACAATCTCAGTTTTTTCAAGGCTCCTCCCATAAATTAAATGTGAAATATGAAATACAGTAGGCACCATTAAAGAGACAATAAAATTTTTCCGAGAATCACCATTAAGACGCAAATCAATAGAAAAATCCATACCCTTACTGTATGAAACCTGATGGTCTGCAAAGTATAAAGGTATACGGCATTTCAACGAAATATTTTTAAATATAATTGACGCTTCAGATGATTTACAAAAAGCATCAACCAGTAATACCAGAGCACGAGCTTTTCATCTATTTACAACAACAACTTCTTCATGTTTTGTTATTTCATTAAACATTATATCAAAATATTCGGCTATGCTAGAACCAGTTGCTAACATATTGCAAGGAATAGACATTGATTTGTTTGCAATTAAAAAATTTATAGGTTACTTTACACAAGTTGTCAAAAAACACAGATATGATGCTGTCACTTTTCCATTTAAAATATGAAGGTGTTGTGAAAATAGCGAATGCATGTGGCTTTGAATTGACCGTTCCTCGATTGGCCGGTAAAGAAACATGCCGAGCAAACTATCAAGCAAAAACAAGTTCATTAGAGGAATATTACCGAATCTCAATGTTTTTTTTACCATATTTGGATTCTCTCTGGGTGTCATTAAGTGAAAGGTTTTCAGAAAAAAAAAGACGCACCGTTCTCACGTTTTAAATTGCATTCGAAATATTGAAACAGTTGAACGGAGATTAATTCATAAACATAATAAATAACATAAAGAAAATGTATGGGCAGTTTTTAGACAACGCTGAGACTGTGCTGTGGTATAACGTAAATGACAACGACGAAAGTAGTGCCATTGCCACCACGGAATACATAGATTTATTAAATAAGTGCCATTTTTTGCCATTCGTAAAAGAAGCAATAAAAATAGGACTTACCTTACCACCAACAACATGTTCTATTGAAAGATCGTTTAGCACACTGCGGCGCGTAAAAATATGGTTAAGGTCAACAATTTGGGAAGATAGACTTTCTGGACTGTGCATGCTAAGTGTGCACCGAGAAATGGTAGAAGAAGATGAAAATTTCGTATATGAAGTAGTTAATAAATTTGCATTAGTACCCAAAAGGTTACAGTTCCCATTTAAGTAGGTAAATATTTACGATAACCTTTAAGGATTTGTTTGTTATCATGTATACGTTTATGTTTATTTATGTTCACCTTAACTGTGTACTTTAAAAGTGTTTTTGCCCTGCGGGCGCCCATGTTCCAAAAAGATATTTCTAAAATTATTCAAATTATAAAAAAAATTAATTGTCTCAGTTCATACGCATTTTCTGAACACCAAGAAGCCTACAAAAAATGTAGGTTCTGTCAAAGAGTTTCAGAGAAGTGTCCGCAATTTTTTTACCTCACTACTTCAGCTCTGGAGGAAATCAAATATGAAACGCCATTAATGAACTATTCCGTTCACACAATTTGTTTTGCATGTACTTAATTTTTTGTAATAATTGCCGTAATTGAAAACCAGACAACCTGTTCATTATTCACACACGCACTTTACGTGAAAATTTAATGTGACGGTAAGTAAGCGAGCTGTTAGTATGCAAACATACCTATCTTCTAACAATTTAAAAACTATAAAAAAAAATTAGTAGGAAGTGCTACCAAGATATTTGCTCATTAATTTAAAAGGTTCTTGAAAACAATGTAAGTACTTCCCACGAAACGGCGAATTTACATTTTTTATTTATTCAAGTACTTAGATAGGTGCTACTCGCTGCATTCGCTTACTTTTGCTATATGCAATATGGTATTTCTCATCAAATACCGGAATACCGCAATCATCAAACAATACGGTGGATCCATTGAATAAATAGATAGCTAATACCCTTACCAGCCGGAAGATAATGTACCGGAATCATGTAAGGTCGAGGGCATAATGCGCAATTTGATGAATATTTGACATGTGGCGCTTATGACAATCGTTTATCATTTTAAAGAATCAGCAGGAATCAGCATGGTGGAAAAGGATAAATAATAAATTCAAAATAGTATTTTAGGTCTGACATTATTAGATAATTTTTTTGTTAGATATTGAAGAAAATTATTTTTGTTTTAGTGTTTAAGGTACATTGCCTTGCTAAGAATGAATGTTGTTTATTATAAAACATTCTTACTTAGATGATTTTTTTAGGTACTAAAGAGTATTATTTTTGTTTTATAGTGTTTAAGATATGCGTAGATTTTCTAAATAAAAACAATTATTTATTATAAAACGTTTTTAATTAAGTATTTTTAATTTATGAGTAATATGTCCCTTCAGAACGGCTATTCTTGAAATCTGGACAATTATTGCAGAGAGAAGTTGAAATAGGTACTTATATTATTATCCGACTTCAAAAAAGGATTTATACGTTTTGGGGTCCCCTAAATCCGTTTTGACTAATTTCTAAATAAAAACGTCTTTATTTATTGAAAATAGGTGACAGAATTAAAGAAATACACTGAAAATGTTCACTTTGTTCTTTAACGTTGTTAGATGTTGTCACGGCAGTGCTAGGATTATGCTGTTCTATACTATTAGTAGGAAGGTGTGCACTGAATAATATGCGCCAACCTACATCATAATTCCAGTAACGAATGTCTGTATTAATCTCAAGATTTCTATCTTCTGATTATTATTGGCAATGAATTCATTATATTTAGTCTTTTATGAATAGCTTCATATCGTTATTCTTCAGCTTCAACATCAAAATAATTCCATGGGTTATTCACTATGTCTTCTCTGCATTTAAAATACATATATTATGCAATATGCACCCTGAAATAATTAAAAGTGATTTCAGATCCATTCTTGATGTCTCCAATGATATGAGGCGTCGAAATCTTCCCTTTAAAAAAGCAGAAGCTTTTTCTAGTTTAACCCTAGATTTATTAAGGGTGTAATTAAAATTTTTTGGCGTATTATCAAATGGTTATTATTTTTGAAGACAGATAATAGAGTTAGACTTAATTTGTATGCTAAATCACCAATATTATGTGAATCGTCATAAAACATTATCTGATGCAACTGACTTCTTTCATACAAATTTGAACGTTTATATAAAGTATAGTCATGTATTGAACTTACCTCTCCTGCATAAACATCTGTAAAAAGCAATTCATGGTCACAAACTGCTTGGAGTAAAACAGAATGAAACCCCTTTCGGTTTATATATGAATTTCCATCTTCTTTAGCTGCAGTTATGGGAATATGACAACCATCGATACATCCTATTATTCATTAAAAACAAATATTTTATTACTATTACAAAAGATAATTAAAGGAGCTCATACCATCAATTCCTCTGTTATTTATATTAAAAGCGATTGGGATTTCAGCTTGCCCCTGTCTAGAACGCCACCGAATGATTCGTAGTCTTTGATTTGCAACTAATAGTAATTTGGAAGTACGATAAAGTACTTGCCAGCAAGTAGAATTGCTTAATCCAAATCTATCGGCAACTGTCCTATAATGAAAAATCTGTTAAAAATATAGAAGTTTTACCAAAACTTAATAAATTGATATACCCACCTGAACCTCTCCAAATTACTCAGATACCATATAGTAAGTAATAATTATTTATTAAAGGATGTTCTGGGATAACCTACACCATGAATATTCGCAAATCCGTGAATTATATGAAGTACATCTTCAAATGTAGTTGCACTAATGCGAAAATGCATTTGAAATTATTATTCATATTTGGAATAGTGATTTCGGCAAAATTCTCTACTTTTTCCAAAATTTAATTTTCAATGTTTTCGTCGTCATCATCATCATCATCATCGAACATAATTGCTCTAGCAGTATGAATTATGGGTATTAATATATTATTATTCATTTTCCAACTCTATTTGAATTAAATAAAAAATTAACCAGAAAACCGTTAGTTTAAGGACTTTTGTAAACAAGAAACAAGTAATAGTTTGTCAACTTTCAGTTGTCAGACCTGTCACGCGTTTGTGTGTTGTTTGTTCGCTCCCTTTACCCATTGATCACGTGATTATCGTACCATACTTCTACAACTCTAACTCCGACTCACCAAGCCGAAGGCACTCCCGGGGGTCGATTCTCGAGTTGTAGGAATTTGATTCCGAGGAAAATTAATTCCTATGATAATATTCCTACAGTTTTAGTTGTCGGTATTCTTGAGTACAATAGGAATCCAATTTCCTGTAGGAGTTCCAATTTCAGTATGTCGTTGATAATTTCAAGATAACGCAGAAACGAGCCAATGGAATGTATTTATTTCAGTTAAATGTAGTTGTTTAACAGTTGGCAACAAGGCAATTTGTCAAAAATATTTGATTTTCTGGATGTACTGGTTATTTATCAGATATTTATTTTTAATATTTTTTATTAGCAGCAAAAAGAGAAAACGAAAAAATCTCAGAAGGACTATATACCATTGTGATTACCGTTATTCAGGGCCGACTAGAGGGGGGGTAGCCGGGACTAATTCCCGGAGCCCGGACTCGCAAATGGGGGCCCGGCAGCGGTATAAGGGGGGCCCGGCAACTGGAATTTTTGTTTTGTATGATAAAAGAAATTCGACACAAGACGAGAGGGGGAAGTTTTAGGTTCGGAAGCTTTTTTTTAGAAAATTGAATCCAAGTAGAGGAGGAAAAGTTTTTGGTTGAAGAGCTGTTTTTTGTCACGGGGCCCGATCTAGAGAATTGTCCTGGGGCCCGGCTTGGCTCCCGGCGGCTCTGCCGTTATTTATATTTATAAGTAGAAACTAAAGAAAATAACTAGTACAAATGTTTTTCCTACACCAAAAGGTTGATGCTTGTATCCTCTAATTTCTAATTTGAAATACAAAAATATAGGAATACTTTCAGTATTTACCAAATTATAGTAAAATTCACATCATACATCATTATAACTTGGTTTGGGCTCCGTCGAGGAATCCTGATGTGCGAATTTCGCAAAAAAAGACTCAAAAGTAACTAGTTTCTTTGGTAAATTTTCATAAAATACGATAATTTTACTCGTCAAATTAAAATTAACTTTTAATAATATATGTAGTATGTTTCTTTTTTAAATGAGTTTGAAATCGCCTAAAAAGTAAGCATAAATCAATAACCACATTAAACAAGCTACTATTGCGCAAGCGCGATTACAAAATCTTGTAGGAAAATTAAATTCCCTGTCTCATGAGCATGGGAAATCATTTCCTATAACTGCTTAGGAAAATATTCCTACAACTTGACTCCAGAATACGTAACCTACTTTCCTATAGGAAAATCAACCAAATTCCTATAGGAAAAAAGTGGAGAATCGACCCCCCGGTGTATAAGTAGGGCCTAATATTTTGAAAACTAATGAACGGAATGCGTTGAAATTTTGGATGTTTATACTAGAATTAATTCCCTATTAAGTGACGTAGAGATCAGGTCTCGCTTTACAAGCTCAAACAAAAATTCATATGGAGTACCCTGTATATTTTTGCATATATTTTGATTTTTTTATCATGTCAGAAATGAATAGTATTAAACTGACCTGCTCGAGCGTTTTTTGCGTGATTGCTCAAATTATTTAGTAACCATTTTAATGATGTATATAATTTCATATTTGGTTAACAATCCATTAAATAGATACGTATCTTTTATTTATTTATATCGCTACTTAACCCAAATAAAGCGTTCTGAAATCACTGAGGTATAAATAAATGACCATTTTAGAATATATACATTTATTTTATGACTGAAAGACGCGATCACTGTTGTGTTCAAAAACCGTTAAATCGAATTAAATCACGAAATTTCTTTTGAAATCGCGCCTTCGTGATAATGTTTTTATTTAACATTCTGCAGATGATGTTCTCAATTGACAAATTATGCATTATTTACACTATATTGTCGGTATGAAAGAGACGACTGCCAAATTTTACTTTCTTATTGTTTGCTCATGATTAAATTACAAGTATGTAGCCCAGAATTCAAAAAAATGCGTTTCACTTTAGAGAATGAATTTTAACAAGTGTGAATAACTTTTACTTTCCTATATCCAGGAAAGGACTAGGAATTATAATTTTTTTTCGACCTAAATTTTCTACGGATCTCTACGTTTTGAGGTACGCCGAATTCGTTTTGACCATTTTCACGATGATATCTGTATGTATATATGTATCCTCTAAAACTTAAAAACGGATGAAAAGAAAAACACCAGATTTTAAACTTAAACATTAACTTAAGCTTTAATCCATCCTGTAGTGAGCTGATTACATTTTGTAAGGGGATATTTTATGAGTTATTTTTCTGCCTTATAATAGGAATATTTCTGTTATTTACTGTTATAGAATAAAGTTCTTTTAAAAAGAATGGTTTGTAATATCATTCTCCATTATTTTTGTCATATACATATTTTCTCTAAAATGGACTGTAAAATTTGAATTTTTCTATATTTTCGTTGACAACGACGAAGAAATGTTTTGAATAATATTTCTCAATTTATTTGATAACTTTACAGGAAAGTCATTTGTTGGACACATCATCCGTTTTAACTGATTAACAAACTATATGATATTTTTGGAGAACAAATTCCAGAACTTATCCGCAGTGGTTTAATGTTAAGAGCCAATAGTGGCACACCGTAATATAAGTGACTAATAATATAAGAAAAATGGAAAATCTGGCAACATTGCAAATATCAAATCTGGAATCTCCGTATCCCCTAATAGGTGTACCCAAAATTTTGTACAATTAGGACTATTACTTTACGAGATAATTGACCGTTTCCAGACTTTTGGGCCACTCTGTATAAGAATAGCCCCCCCTGGATTCAATTCCAGATAGAAGCATTTGGAAAGTTGTGAACAAAACTATGTACTATAGTTGTATATTTATTTTAAATTCATTTTATTGATCATAGTGACCAATACTTGTAATTTTTAAAAACTAAACTAATGAAAATTTTATTCTACCTAATATTTATCTTTATCATTCCATAAAAGTGTTTAAAAATGGAACCGATATGTTTATAATTCCGACAAAACACCATCCGCAAAACATTTTCACAATGGTTCAAAAATCGGAGATAAAGTAAAAATATTCGAAACCAATAAGGCAAATAAATACTAAACCAGTCACATCTTGATTAAACTTCTACAAAGTCAGATTTTCTGGTTTAAACATTTTTCATTAAAATTATCTTGTGGTCGTAGGAAAAATTATCTACATCCCTTGTGCATTCGTTATGTAATGCTGTAATAATTTCACTTTTAGTCTTATCCAAAGTCGATAATCTTAAAATATTAATAACATAATATGTAGAGGTACCTTTCTGTTGCAAAAATCCGTTAGCTGAAAACTTAATGAATCGGAATAATACATTACTAATGATAATTTCCTTCATTTTTGCTTAATTAGGCATTGTTTATATTAATTAATTATGCTTATAATAAATTAATGTAAAAATGATTTTATAAAAAGAATTTACGATAAGATGGTTTATCTAGTACCGTTTACCGTTTTCGGAGGCTATTGTTTTATTTATAAGAAAGTCACGATATGTGGAACTAATACAGGACGATATAATCTTCTAAAAGTATATACAGGGTCTTACGAAATAGTAAATTATTAAGAGAAGAAGTTATAACATTCTGTATGCAAAATTTTTTAACATAACTGGTAGATTTTCGTACATGTAAGAAAGCAGGATATTTTCTTCAATTTCTTCAAATTGTTCTATTTACAAAATTAAACACAAAACAAGTATAATCGTCATTCTATTGAGACAACCGAACTGTAAGTATAGTCTTTCTAGACACAATCCAACACGGCAGAATAACCGATTAGTACCGACTTCAAAGGGACCGCGCACATGGGCGTACCGATTTTATTATTAAAATTAAGTAAATTAAATTAATAATTATGTATAGTTCTTTCATTAAACTCGTTCCGAACTCTTACCGACAATTTTGTTTGATCTGTCACAGGCTTAGATACCTCATTTTAAAAATTTAATATTTTTATAAATACGAGAAAGTATTCGTTTAATTGTAGTCCTACTTGAAACTTAAAAAAATCATTATTATAGCTCGTTATTTTACCTGCCTGTAAGGGCGTTTGCTTCAAACAGGGTACCAGACGTGAACTTATCCCTTTTTGTACCCCATTCGTTTTTTTTTTCGGAAAACGAAATTTCAAAGCAAAAACCATAAAGGAAAATAAATTCTTTGCAAATAAAACAAAACTATAAAATAATTTAGAAAAATGAATTTTTTAAAAGAAATAAATGAATACGAACTAATAAAATGCAAACAATGAATTAATTTGATGACTTTCGGATTACCAATAATGAAAAATAAGAAAGTTAATTCGAATCTAAATCTGAACCATCTGTCGAGGAATCGAGGTTTGGATATATAACTACTGGAGCTATAGAAGGTTAAATATGATATTCTTTTTCCTTTTTAGGACGTGACTAACGCAAATTTTCCAAACGTCAGTCAAAGACGGATCTTTAAAAACGCCATTAATATTTTCCAAATCACATTTGTTAAGGTAGGTGCAAAATTATTACTTCTCAGTTTTTGTTTAACTGAAGACCAAACTAATTCAATTGGATTAAGTACACAATACAGTATGACCATCATCTTTTGCAAAATTATCAATATAATACTGTATTGGAATATTCTTACTTTAACAATTTGTAACAATTGTGGTTTTGTTTTTACGGAAGCAGGACTATCAATGTTATTATCTTTTGAATACTTTGATATATCTGTTTTCTTAGAGTCACTACTTGGCTTCTTGTAAATTTGCAGGGAATGATATGGCGTATTTTTCATTACAATTACTGAATTAGTTGGAATATTCGGTAAAAGTTGTTCAGCAAACCATTTCTTGAAAACTGCTGCATTCATATCTTCATGATAAACCAGCACAGCTTTATTGACATATTTTGCTGAAAGTAGCGAAGCGTTTGCTACAAAGCCATTTTCATTTCTGGCATGTAAAATTATGACTCTGGCATCTACATCTACCTCAAAAGGTCTCCAGAAAGCATCTCGTATAACACAAATCAAAATTTAACAGAAACACCGAAAAGTAAAAAGTTTATAACAAACGCTTTGGGAAAATTTTTCAAACTGTGCACGCTACTGATCAAAGATAAAACAACTAAAGCAGCCAGGCGAGCCTGCAAATCTGGCCGCTCACTTTTGGACTAAACATCAACTGTAGGTGCGTAGATGTTTAAAACTTAAGTGTGCCACATCAGAGGCTATACCAAGACGGTTCACGCTAATTTGCAATGTGAAGGTATAGAATTTGTAGCATTTGCATGGCATGTAACGCCAATTATTACGCAATCTCGGTACAACACCTATATTGGATTGAGTCTGGAAACACTATACCTCTCTTATTTTGCAGGCCTTAGGAACTTAATACATAATCCTAACATAACAAATATGACTCATATGGCTAATAAATAAGACATTTGAATGCCCTTGTCGTCGCCCTGTTGATGGACTGCTGCCTGGGCGTTCTAGATGTTTCAGCTAATTGTCATCGATCCAACGCCAACGTTTTTGTAATTCTTACATACGTATAGGCTGGATATTTCCAAAGACTGGAACCCACTTACAACTCCACAGAAATAAAAAAGCTTAGAACTTATTTTAAATGTTCATATCAGTCCTAGAGCCAACATGCAAATTTGTGACTTATTTTCTTATGATACAAATTCACGAAAGCGCGACGTTCAGAATGCGGCGCTTAAATAGCTACAGGCATTACAAGTGGCACGTGCCTCTTAAAAACTTGACTAATTTTCTTAACATTTTCGTTGTGCTCATTTGACGATAAGTGCCCACCTAGAAAGAAATATTAAACCCTTTACCGATTTCGGTAGGCCATTTTTTGTTGTCTCCAATGTTTTAAAGTAGTGCATGAGAAGGCACGCGCTTGACTTTTTTTATGGCTGCTTTTTGGTTAAGTTTTTTTATATTTTTTACAAAATTCACTTCCTCCACCATTTTCGCTTAGTCACTTTTCTCTTCAACGTTTTATAGTTGCGCGTGACTGGGCATACGAGTGACTTATTTTCTTATAGCTGAATTTATTATTAAAGTGTAGTAAGATATGTATTCAGACCGGGGCGCTTAGGTAGTTATAGACATTACAAGTTGTACTGCCCTCTTTAACACTGACTAATTTCTTAACATTTTTATTATGTTCTTTCGACTTCACCTACAAGAATTATTAAACCGTCCACCAATTTCGATGGGCCATTTTTCTCCTCAACTCCATATTTTGTTTTTCGTTAAATTCAGTATCCTTGTCACTGCCCATTTGGGTTGTTTCGAAATTTTCTTCTGATACGTTCGTCGTCTGGATAGTACCTTTGATTTAAATTGTATCTCCTGGGTTTTGTCTTGAAAACCGCTTCAGTCCTTGCGAACAATCTATTGATTTTGACAACGGTATCGTGAAACATTGGTGCTCGAACTTGATGCCTTTCATTGAGTATTCCGGCAACTTGACGCGTAGATCTTTCATTATTAATAAGCGGATAATTTCTGCTTTTTCTCCAATGGTAAGAACTACTCATGGGTTTTATACCATCTTATTAACAGTTGAAGTAACACTGCTTGACTTAATGACAATAATTATAAAAATAGTACACATACTTTGATTGTTATTCTCGGCTTTGATTTTCTATTAGGCATTCCAACGACCTGTCCAAATGGCTACCAGTGGGTACTGACAGTCTAGATATGGCAACCCTGTTGTCATGTTGTCATTAACAAGGTCAATGATACATATATGTTATATACATTGCTCAAAGCTGGTCGTTTGCGAGCAGCCATATTGCCTGGCAATATTTATTAATTTGAATCAGTTTAGCAAAAATGTGTTTTAAAACCAATTTTCAGACTTTAGATATTTAAAAAATAATAATTGCTTATATTTTTACCTCAAGGCATAAGCTTATGTTTATTTTAAAAAGTAGGGATGATCAATCTATGTAACTATCTATTTCACTCACCTTGTCAAATCACCAGGCCTACAGAGTTGCCATAACTTTGCCACATCATAACCTGTCAAAACCCACTGGTAGTCATTCAGTTTGGAATGCCTAATAGTAGGAATTACTAAATGTCAAACAAACATTTTTGTTTCAAAGTACTCTTTGATTAATTTGCTTAAAGACAACACAGGTCAGCATGCCAACAGTAAAAAACCGAATTCATAGTATAAGGGTAGTTGCGAGGATACTGAATGTATCGGAACGTTGTAGAGGTGTTTGAAACGCATTAGGATTAGTAAATTTAAACTAAAATGTTAGAAATAAACAACCTATTAAAAAAAGTGACTGAAAATAAAAACTCTCTTCTGCTCTTGAGATTTTAAAAATAAGAATTAAGGGATTTTGGTGATGCTGGTTCTAAATCTGATAGAAAAAGTTATATAAAAAAGCCCTTCTCATTTTCCCAAAAAAAGCAAGCATTTTTTTAACCCCTAATACCGCATGCCATGGTAAATAAAAATTTTCACTGTGCCAAAAATAGCTCATGTTTCTAACATACAATAGTCACAGAGTATTACTAAAAAAATTAACAAATTGATTAGTGTTCATTCCAGGCAAAAGAAAATTAAGGCAGACTTAAGGAAAATAGTAGTAATTAAAAAAGAAACTATAGACATGATATAGAATAAAGAAAAATGCCCATTTTTTTAGTCAAGAAATAATGTGCTTGTTGCTAAAAAAACTGCCCAGTAAACCACAAATAGTCGGCATTCGCTCGGCCTGACACCAGCATGTACGGGAAGCCGAGTACTTGGATTGCCATTGTCGCAGTTATGTTATGTTGAGAATGGGGTGTTAATACACTGCGAACTAAAATATATATTGTGTCCCCTTCTGTCGCCACTGCACTAAGAAAATGTCTCAATGCCTATAGCGACCCTTCCAATCCTATTTTCTCAAGGAAGTGTAGGATTTGAAGTGGCTTCAAGTTAGGTAAATCTTCCTCTTCTATTTGATATCCTCCTAGATATAGTGCCCTTGGATTCTGGTATGTGGTCCGTATTTGGTCCATTATAAACAATGGAGAAGGAAGATCTGCAGAAACTTCCCTGGTACAGCTGACTGACCTAATCCAGGATGCACTGACAAGCAAAGAAACGGTCGTGTGTGCCTTCCTACACGCACCACATGAACCTGTCAAAAAAGCACTTGTATACGGAGGAGTAGATATCACCACATCCAGATGGATTGCTCAACTGCTATCTACGAGAAAGGCAAAGACACATATAGGACAGGACACCATCTCCATCTGCACAACCAGAGGATGTCCACAAGGAGGAGTTCTATCCCCACTAAAGTGGAGCCTAACCGTAGACGAACTTCTATGCAGATTGACTGACCTCGGCATATCCTGTCAATGTTATGCCGACGACATAGTCATATTTGCTAGAGGCAAGTTTGGAAATATCCTGTGTGATATAGTCCAAAAAAAACTAGAACATACCAAAAGATGGTGCGTGAAGTAGGACTTACTATAAACCCCAAAAATACAACATTAGTAGCCTTTTCAAGAAAAAGAAAACAATCTCAAAACCGCTAAATTAGACAGGATAGATATAGAGTGGATAAATGCAGTCAAATATCTAGGCCTAACCCTGGACAACAAACTTCTCTGGAACATACATGAGAAACACAGTAGTAAATAAGGCTACAAAAGCCCTTATGGTATGCAGAAATATTGCGGGTAAACGATAATATTATGTAACATAAACACACTGCGATGTATACTGCAATAGTGAGGCTATAAGCCTGACTATAGCCTGGAGTAACAGAACTAGTTTAGCTACTACGAGAACTAATATCTCAAAAGTACAAAGACTAGCCTGTGTTTGCATTACCGGTGCAATGAGAACCTGTTCTACATTTATTGATAGGGAATGTGGCAAAAAAGACACGATATAGAATGATCAGGAACTGAATAGTTAGACAATTCATCGTTCTTGCAACCGAAGTATATGCTATTTAGTGGTATACGGCTGATTCCAAAACCATAGAAGTAACTGGAATAGGTGTGTATGGGCCTAGAACCAGGCACTCTGAAAATTTGGGGAAATACCCAAACATCATGTCTGATAGCCAAGTAGACATCAAAGCGCTGAGCTCTTACATAATCAGCCCAAAAATGGTCTGGAGAAAAAATTGAATGAGAAAAATACAGTTACTTTTACTTGAATCCCGGGATATAGGGGGTACAGGTTAACGAGATTGCAGATAGTCTCGTAAGAAAAAGGGCTCTAACGCCCTTTGTGGGACCTAAGCCGTTTTGCGATATCAGCAGTAACATAATATTAGGAGAGATTAAAAAAGAAGTGGGCAGTAAAAGAACCGATAATTGAAATAATCTCTTGGGACTAAGACAGACTAAGATACTTCTGGGTGAACCAGAGAAGATCGGAACCTTGCATCTGCCTGAGCAAGAACCAAGCTATGTATTGTAACAGGGATCCTTACTGAGCATTGCCCACTCAAAGGACACTTTAGTAAACTGAGAGTAGTAGAAGATAGTGGGTGAAGATTCTGTAAGGAGGACGAAACCTCCAATCCAGAATTCAAGGGCATTATACCTAGGAGCATATCAAATAGAAAAGGGAGATTAACCTAACTTGAAGTCACTCCAAATCCTACACTTTCTTGAGAAGATAGGATTGGAATGGTCGTTATAGCATTTCCTTGCTGGATTAGCTACATAAGGGGCACAATAGTTATTTTAGGTCGCAGTGTATTAACACCTCATTCCTATTATTTTTAAAATTTTAAATAAGTGACAATTCAATTCAAACTAATTGGCAGTATATTTTTAGTTATTGAGATTTAATATACATTAAAATGAGTTATTTTCAATCAATAAATTAATAAATACTAGCATTTTTTTTTTAGTTGGTCTACATTTTGAAAAAAAAATTGATTTTAATCAAACTATATGAAACTAATTTATTTGCGAGTATTAAAACTAAAATCGTAAAAACGGCTGTGGAATTGAGGACAGAGCTTCTGTTTTCCACGAAAAATGCCCGGGTTCGAATCTGGGCTGGGGACTAATTAAACTAATCTTTTTTATATTTATTTTATTTTATACATCAGTAAAGTTGATAAATTATTTTAAAATTACTTATTTTGTCTGTGTATAACCTAAAATAATTTTTTTAAATTGGTAAATTTTCGTTAATGGGCCGCAGAAAAAATATACTGTACAAATCGAGTGGGTTGTCCATATCGCATTCAGACGATTGAGAACTTCACCTATGGCATCTTGCTCAAACTGTGTCATCGTGCGATGTGGTCATTATACCCACTCTTGTTGCACAAACTACTATTCTACTTGTACAGGAACATCATGATTAGTGTATATTTTAATAAATTAAAATAAAAAATATAAAAAATTATACATGGGCAAGAAATCCCCAAATATTAAAAACTAGTGTTTATGCAGGGTACCATGTACTCGAAATCTATAGACGCACGTGTAAGCCGGGTTTTCATAATTTGACAACACTTTAAACTCCACATATTCATAATAATTATTATTATGTATTCCAAACATCTGTAGCTGTGAATCGAATATATCATAAGTAAACTGACCAAGTTTCTTTCCATTATCTGTAGGATTATTCATTCCAGAAACAATGAAATCTTTTGGAGCGGAAGTTATTTCACCCGAAGGTGAAACTCCTTCGGAAATATGTTCAAGACTAACAGCATCGATTCTGACTTTTCCTATTAATTTGATTACAGCTCCACCTCGGCTTCCCTTGAAAGCCCAGCAGTGGCCTGGATGCATTTCGGTTTGAAGCATAGCTCTAGGACCATGCATACCTTCACACAAAGTTATTCCAAAAAGAGTTTTAGCATAATCGAAGTTTTCGGTGCCTGGAGTTAGGGCGACTATCTTTCCACCCGATGATTCCATGGCAAAGTCTGTTCTTCCAGTTTTGTCTGCACTGAATATTTCTAACTCAGAACTTATTAAATCCTTTAATGCCATTTTTCGAGATTCCTGTTCTTTTTTTATACTGTTTATTAAAGCTTCTAATTTAACTATTCTAGTTTCAGTATCTAAGTTGTTATCTACATCTAGTTTTATGATCTCAATGTGTTTGTTAATATTTCGTATGAGTTCGCCTTGATGTACAACTAAGATAATTATATATAAAGAGCCTAATAAGGCCATTCCATAACAATATTTAGTCCAGGTGTTCTGTGATCGTCCATTCCCATAAGAACTGGCACACATCCTGCCTTGATTGTAGTTCATTTTGTAATCTAAACAAAAATGAGATGTTGAATTACTACAATCAAATATTCTACTATCGTCGCTGATACTACGGCGTCTTCTTTCTAGATCAGTGACTGATTGTAGAAGTTGAAGGTTTCCAGCATTTGAATTTTCAATAAAATTGCTAGGAATTTTACTATTACTTAAATCAACATATAATTTTTTTTGTTCAATTTGTTCAATTCGGGCGTTATCGTATTTAATGCTTCGATTTATAAGCAAGTTTTCGTTATTCGGATTGTAAAATTCATAGTTAATTGCAGAACTGCCCATGTGACAATACAAATGTTGACAGTTCTGATAACTCCATTAGACACATGATTGACGTATATAGAACCGGTCACGTTATCGCGACTAGTCTTCATAATTGCGACCTAAGTCTTTTCCTTTCTTTTTCAGCATCGAAAATGTAGTTCTATTAATTTGATATAGTGCATACACTGCATCATTTTTCTGCGTAAATTTTATATTCACTTTGGTAATACTGGTGTGAAAAATGCTGAAAGTGTTGGGTAACGGGGAGGTTGTCTTACGTAAATAATAACGATAATTAAACAATTAAAATATTTAAGATATGGCTGTAATTTAAATGAAACTAATGAAGATATTATTACATATAACAAGTACACAGAATTTATATCTTTTTTAAACTTTACTCAACTACACTGTTGAAACACCTAATTTTTGGTGTAGGTACATTTTACAATGCACTGTAAACCAAAGGAAGAGAGCTCCTAAATAATATCCTGATTAATTATGAATCAGAAAATCTAAGATCAGAAACAAATTTGAAAAGAAAACGGTTATGTGGACTCTAAAATTACAAAGTAGGAGAAGAAGAGAAGAAATGACAATTGACGATGACAAGTGAATATTATAGTGGACATTGGAAAATGTTTATATTAGAACAGCATGAATATGGCACCAAATTTTTCCCACCACATCATAGAAAAAAGAAAATTATCTTAGCCTACTTACAAAAACTAGGTAATAAATTTATAATTGGCGGAGATTACAACTTCAAAAATACCATCTAGGGTTCAAGATTAACCACAGTCAAAAGAAAAGAATTGCACTAAGCTGCAGCAGAACTTGGATGTACATACCAATCTTCTAAAAAAATGATTTATTGGCCTACCGACTCCAATAAGATTCAAGACCCTTAAATTCAATTTTAAAATTTTGTAGAATTTCGTTAGTGGGTCATAGAAAAAATATATTGCACAACTCGAGTGCGTTATCCGTATTGCACGGCGTTGTGTTCAAACGTCGTCATTGTGTGATATAACCATCACATCCACTCTTGTTATTACAAACTACTATTTTAAATGAGACTCCCGATATTTTAGGTATATTAAAAAACGTAATCCTTTTAAATACAAATAACAATAATTATAATTTTATTCGAGCAGTTTTTAACAAAATTAAACAAACTGACGTCTTAGCTCCGTGAAATAAGATAAGAACGATTATCAGAATAAAATGTTGGTAAAGTAGGGTTTGCCGCGTATACTATTTGAAATTTCGGCTTGTATTTTAGTTCCTAATTTTCTTCGTTATTACATTGAAAAAACCATATTAAATTTTTGTATAATTGTTTAAACTTTTATTTTTATTATTATAAAAATTACTTTATTTTTATTAGCGTCACCAACTGCTCTGATTTATTTCAAAATGTTTTTTTTTTTTTTCAAGAGGTGAAATCCGTTAAGGACATCCTTTGCTTGGGTCAATCGCAATAGGATAGTGTGGAGACTCCTGGGACCGTTCAGATCCGCTAAGTATACCCACTAAAATACCTCTGGTCTTCTTGAGTAGCTGCTCCTGGTACTGCTCTAGCAAAGTTTTAGTTGTTTTGGACCCTTACTTGTACATCTAGTGCTCTTACATCCTTTTCTTTTGTTTCTATGATACATTTAGCGAACTAACTAACGGTATTTCAGTTTTCTTTCTTTTCTAATATCTTGTTTAGTATATTATCTGGTGTTATTTTTCCCATCCTGTTTTCTACTTCAGTTCTATCAGTCATCCATCTATCGCACACGAAAAAGGTATGCTCGGGCGTGTCTTCGATTTCGCAGTATATGCATTCTTCATTACATGCCACCTTAAATCTGCATCTGTATGACTGAAAGCATCCGTGCCCAGAGAATAATTGCGTAAAGTGATATGTCATTTCTTCATGCTTTATTTTGAGCCATGGATCTAGAGTGGGTATAAGTCTTTTTGCCCACTGTCCAACATTTGTTTCTGCCTCCCATTCCTCTTGCCACTTTTGTATAGTTCTCTCGGTTACCGTTCTTCTTTCTATTTCCTCTAGCATAGCGCACCTTTCTTCTACTAGAAAATATATGGGTGGGGTTCTGGCTATCACTAATAGCGCTTTTGTCGACACGGTCCTATACGAGCTCGTTATTCTTATTGCAGCTTTTCTTTGCACCCTTAGAAGTATGTGTTGGTATATCTTTCTTTTCATTGCTCTGCTCCATATGGTGTCGCCATAGAGCATAATTGAGTGCGCTACTGTGAATAGTATTCTTCTATTCCTCTCCCGTGGACCTCCAATATTAAGTAGCAGCCTGATTATGTTTTCGATTGCCTTACTTGCCTTCTCTGCAACATTTGTGACATGCTAACCCATGATCATATTTCTTTCAAAATATATTCCCAGGTACTTAATACATTCCTTGCTTCTTATGTTGACGTCTTCCACTTTAATTTCTATTTCTCTTAGCGTTCTCCCTCCTGCTCGAATAACCACCTCTGTTTTTTTCTGGGGCTAGGCTAAGTCTTTTTGTGCATAGCCACTTTGTCACCTTTGGGAGTACTTTATTTGTAGTTGTCCTCAGTTTTTCTCCGTCTTTTTCCGTTACCACTAATCCAAGGTCATCTGCGTAGGCTATCAACTTGACTCCTCGCCGTACCGGGATTCTCATTATACCATCGCAGTAGATATTCCACAGGGTTGGTCCTAGTACAGATCCCTTAGGAACTCCACAAGTGATGACCATTCTGTCCCACGTAGAGCTATCTGTCGTCTAGGTAGCTCGCTATTAAGTTGTAGACATACGGCGCTATATGTTTCTACTTTAGTTCTTCTAGGATACCGTTCCAAGGGGTAGAGTTAAAAGCATTACGTACGTCCACTGTTACGAGAATACATCTTCTTCTTCTTCTTCTTCCTATTTTCTTGGCTTCATTAACAATTTCTTGCACTCTTTGAAGGGCTCCAACTGTTGATTTTTTTTTTTTTTTTTTTCAAAAAACCGTATTGTTCTTCATCTAGGTCTCTACTGATTTCTATTTCTCTTTTCAGTCTTGAGAGTATTAACTGATCTAGTAATTTTCCGAGAACGTTTAATAAGCCTATATGCCTTGTTATTCTGCCCATGCTTACCTTTCTCTATTAACATAAGCTTTCCTAATTTCCATTCTTTGGGGAATGTTCCTTTCCTAGCGAGCCCGTTTAGACTTCCAGTACTCTATCAGTATGCTCCTTCACAACTGCCTTTATGATTTCCGGAGACAAACCGTCTGGTCCTGGTGTCTTTTTTTCTTTTACTTTATTGCTGGCTACGGTAAGCTCTTTTTTTGTGAATATCGATATATTTACCTCGTCCGCCGATAGTCTCTCTCATTTTCTTACGAGGTGTGATGGGAATAGTTTTTCTGTCACCTCCATTTGTTTCTCTTCACTCAGCCCTAATGGCGAGGTATTTCTAGCTTATCCATTACTATTTTATATCCTTTACCCCATAGATCTTGGTCTACTTCCTCTATTACTTTTTTCCAGGCATTTCTTTTTGCTTCAGCAATGGATTTCTTCAGCGTTGCTCGACTTTCTCTGTGGACCTCCATGGCGGTAATTTTTTGAATTTGGATGTTTTTCGTTTTTACTCTGTTCATTTCCATTTTTGCTTTAATGCAGACTCTTTTTTTTTCTGCGACCTCATTTGTCCACCAGTAGACGGTTTTTTATGTTTTAGGTTAGTTTTCTTTTTAAAAGTTATATTACAGGCTGCAGTAATAATTTTACACAGAGTCTTTGCATCTAGCTCTCTTCCATCATGCTGCTCCAACTTAGGTCCTACTTCTTGTGTCATTTTGGCGATTTGTTCTTTCTTGACTGTCCATCCTATACGTTCTCTTTTATTTTGGTATCCTCCATCCCGTTAAATTAATTCATATGTAATATATTGGTGGTAGCTAAGTGTTTCTACATTCAGGACTTTCCAGTTATGAGCGCTTTTACTAATTTTGTTGGTGCTAAACGTTACGTCTATGCACGACTTGCTGTCTCCCCTTATAAAAGTTGGTGGGTCACCTTTATTGTGAATTATAAGATCTTGTTCTACTAGCCATTCCCATAGTATTTCACCTCTTTTATCCTCTTTGTCAGACTGGTCAGACCACCAAAGATACGATTTTGAGTTGAAATCTCCTCCCACGAATATTTCCCTGTTCTAATTTTTCATCTCCCTTCGTAGAGCTTCCAGAAAATTTGTATATATTTGCAGGTCCACGTTAGGGGAGATATAGCATCCAAATATCGTTAGTCCTTACAGTTCCACCCATACGAAACCATCACCTCTTCCTTTTTCTATTATCTTTATTTGATTGTTTCTGATTATTACTGCCACATCTATTTTATTATCTATATCTAATTTTCCTCGGATAGCTTTTTTTTGTTTGGCTTTGCCATAATAACTATGTCGGCTTTTTCATCTTCTGCGATTTTGTATATAAAATCCATTGCCTCCCTTCCTCTGTCTATGTAGAATTTTTATCGCGAACTCTGCACTCTCCCCTTCTTCTCCTTCCTCTGCTCCTGTAGCATTCGTCTGTACTCTGGACATTTGGTTGTCTCTGTTTTGTGACCTTCGGCGTTGCACAGATAGCATTTCTGCATTTTTGCAGTCTTTTTCTGGTGTCCTTTTTCGCCGCATTTGTACTCGTTCGTATCTTTCTTGCCGCACTGTACCGCTATGTGCCCTACCCTGTGGTATTTGTAGCATTTTGGAAGAGTATCCATTTCTTTAACTCTTCATCGATGCCAGCCATCCCCTATGATCTTGCTTAGCACTAGGAACTTGGCTGCATCCTCTTCTATGGTCAAGAGAGCGTGTTTTTGTCCTCTTTCATTAGCCTTCTCGGAGACCTTAACCTGCACATTGCCTCTCCAGTTTTTATCTTTCTCTAGTTCTCCCTGGATTACATTTTTAACATATTGTGTCTTTTCGTCTATATCTAGGATAATAACAGTTTGGTTTCATTTCCTTAGATCTACCTCTGCATATGCCTCCATTTTTGTTGTAAGCAGTTTGAAAATGTATACCAAC